TAGTCTTTGAAGGTGGCATGTGTGTTTCCCTGGTAATCTACACCTGCTGCTCTTTAATGTGAGCTGGGTTGAGACAGAAGAGGATCAATGTTCTGCACTGCCAGCTGGGATTGAGCCTCGAGATAGAAGGTATGACCTCCTGGGGCTTGAAGGATTACATCAGAACTAAAGCACCAGACCCCTGAAACATTAGATACTATCTCAATAGCATAATGCAAATTACTTTCTCTGCATATGCTCTCTGCATATGGCAGAGGTAAATGTAGGTCACCTACCTAGTTCAGCTCATAGTACTCACCTATTTCCCACAATTCTCAGTCACTCTTCCTCAAGCCACTCCTTCTCCACTGAATAAAACTCGGGTGAAGCCCTGGGTCAGCCTCTTTGTTCTGGAAAGCCATCTTCAGGCCTGGACTTAGGGCCCCTTAGCTCCCCAATAATTGTGTTTTAGTGTCTTTACTTTCGCTGTGGGTTGCACTGGGAGTGACAGATTGACATTAACTTGGTGGGATTCCAATAATGTATCTTTGGGATTACAAATATTAACTTCTTGGACCGAGACAAGAACCTGGAGGGGATTCCTATAGTATAGGATAGAGATTCCTCCAAAAGCTGAACACTAGAAATTCTGTTTGGCCCTTCTAGGTATCTTTCCAAAGAGTGTAAGACATCATATTACAGCGATACATGGATACCTGTGTTTACTGCAGCACAATTCTTAGTGGATAACTCTTGGAAACAGCCTGTATGTCCATCAACACATGATTGGATAAAGAAAATGTGGTATTTTTACATACAATGGAGTTACTACTGTGCTCTAAAGAAAGATAAACATAAGTAGGAAAAATTGATGCACCATGAGACTATAATGCTAAGTGAAATAAGTCAGACATACAGGCTTAAGTATCACATGATTTTTCTCTCTTTTTTCCCTGTCTTTTTGAAACAGGGTCTCACTATGCAGTTCAGGCTGGCCTTGAGCTCATGTTATAGCCCAGGCTGGTCTTCAACTAGGAATGCTTCTCCTGCTTCAGCCCTCCAAATGGTGGGATTATAGGCGTACACCACCATGCCTGGAAAGAATTCTTTGTTTCTCAACTGTATATTATTTTTACTTTGCTTATGAAAAAGCAAAAGCATAGATAGAGAACCTGGATATGTAGTATCCACCAGTGATCCCTGCATTCTGAGAGGCCAAGGCTGGAGGATTAAAATTTGAGCCCAAAATAGGCAACTTAGCAACTTTGCAAGACTGTGTCTCAAAATAAAATTTCAGTGGAGAGGGAGATATAGGGTGTGTTGGAGGTAAAGTTCAGCTTGAAGGCCTTGTGTTCAGTCTCCAGTTGTGGGGGAAAAAGACTGGAGCGCTTTCTAGTTTATTAATAGTCAAGCAGAAAAGGATCATTGAAGTAAGCACAGATAGAAAAAAACTTAAGAGGGGCTGGGGAGATGGCTCAGTGGAATAAGCACTTCCCTGGCAAGTGCAAGGGCCTGAGTTCAATCCCTGGTTCCACCAAAAAAAAAAGAAAAAAAAAGAAAAAAATTTAAGAATATGGTGGCATATTGCCACGTATAAAATCCATGACATCAAGATGTGACATGATTATGTCCAGACACCCTCACCTTCTCTTAGTAGTGCTCTAAAGTGTTTTGTCACCCAAGAATTCATACATTCATGCATGAAGCAGCAACTATTTACTGGGCAATCGAGATGTGTCAGTTAGGCATCAGGGTAGGTGCAGCCCCAGGCAGGGAGTGAGACAGCCAAACCTCCTAGAGCGCAGTGAGGTGGCAGCCACAGGGACAGCTGCCACACTCCAGGGTTCCCCTTCCTCTGTCACTGCGTAGCAGTGCAACCTGTCTATGCATCATTCCTCCCCATGCTAAAATAGCAGATTAGACTGACTTTTTTAAAAGACTGGTTCCTTCAAAATTCGGAGTCAGTTGTTTGGCAGAAATCCAAGCTCCCTGAAAGGCTGGCTGGGCACCAGTGTCTTTCAGTCAGTCTGTAGCTTCCTCATACTTGGCTCCCTGTAGCTGTCCATGATTTTCCTGAAAGAGGAAAGAGAACACAAGACCCTGATCTCTCGTGATTGTAGCAGGAGATTTCGGAGCACGTGCTTATGACCAGACTTAAATTATGTTACAGTGTTCAGAAATATTTCAGAATTTTATGATTCTATGATGGTTTTGGTTAATCAGAAACTTTTAAATCTAGTACATGTTTGTTTTTATTTGTTTGGAGACAGAGTCTTGCCGTGTAGCCCAGGCTGGCCTTGAACTCAAGGCAGTCCTTTTGCCTCAGCCTCCAGAGTGCTGCTGGGATTACGTGTGTGTCACCACTCCCAGCTCTAAACTAGTACATCTTGTTTGTTGTTTTTCTGGTTATATAGGTAAACATTTATTTATGAAATTATGCTGTCCTTTTTATATGCTTTTCTGCATTGTCTTTATTTTTCTATAATGAAAATGAATTATTTTAGTTTTTTGTTTCGTTTTGTTTAGTGTGGTTTTTTTTTTAATTTATTTTATTTTTTTAAAATTTTTATTTATTTATTTGTGTGTGTGTGTGTGTGTGTGTGTGTGTGGCCAGCTCAGCCCACCAGGGGGCAGGGCTGGCTGGCATGTGGTGCTGGGGGATTGAACCGCGGTCCTGTGCTTTGCTAAGCTTGTTCTAAGTAGGTGCTTTAGACCACTGAGCCATCTCACCAGCCCCCTTAGTGTGGTTTTAAGATGGTGTCTCACTATGTAGTCCAAGCTGGCTTTGAACTCATGGCGATACTCCTTCCTTAGCCTCCCAAGAGCTAGGATCACTGGCATGCACCACCATGCCCAGCCATGTATTATTTTGTAATCAGAAAAAAAAGAAAGAAAAAAACCAATCTGTGTAAAGAAGCACAGTCTATCAGGGATCAAACAGGCTGGTGCATTTCTCCTTTGTGTGTGACAGCATCTGTGTAGATGGTTTTCTTGGGACCCTGTTTTTTGCTTCTAGACACCCTTGTTCCTTCTTCCTGCCCTGTCCGCCATGCAGCCTTTACAGCTTGGCTTCTGCCTGGTTTCCACTTCCTTGCTGCCCCTTGCTCTATAGTGTTTCTCACAGGGCCTGGAGTGTGGTATTTGGCCTTTCCATTCCCTGGACAGAAGTTCTTTTGAATCACCTTGGTGCCCTGACTCCAGTGTACCTGGAAATCTGCCCCTGTTCCCCACCTCCCTGGCTGTGGGGTATTTGTAGGAGTTTCTCAGCTACACTTCTGCCCCACCCTGTCTGTGCTCCCCCAGGTAGCCAGATGGGGTAGTTTTGCTGCAAACACTGACATCCCACCCCACCTCTCTCCAGTCTGTGCCAAAGTCCTGTCAGGGACCCAAGGACCTAGTGCCACCTGCCTTTCCTACCTCTTCCACTTTGTCGCCTCTCCCAGGTTTCTCTAGACAGTGGCTTTGTTACCATACCGTGTCACGTACATCCTGCCACAGATGTCTGCTGTTCCCTCTCTGGGATGCTTTTTCCTCAGTTCTCTGCTCTGGAGTCATTTTACCAGGCAGACCATCCCTATTGCCTTATCTAAATCCCCACTGTGCTCCCTGAAGAATCCCAACTTGTATTTCCATCTCTCCCTGACTTATCCCATCTGTTTATGCAGAAGCAAACAGTAAACCTGCCACATTCAACAGTTACTGCTCCCAGCTCTCTCTGCCTTGGGGAGTGGCCCACCTGGCTATGAACGGTGAGGATAGCCTAAGAGCCCTGTCCTCAGCCTGCCCCCACAGCTCTCACATAGTCCACAGCCTCCTCTCAGTTCCACTGACCCTTCCATGGTCTGGATCACTACCATTTTCCTGTTACAGTGTGGCCCAGAAGAGCATGGCCTGTGAAACCAGACTTCATGTTCTAATTTGTAGATTGTATTTTCAAATTTTAATTAACTTATTAGATATGTTGGTGCTGACAATTTATCCCAGGGTCTTGTGTGTGCTGAGTATGGGCTGTAGCACTAAGCTATACCGCTGGCCCCAAGAAAATGTCAGAGAAAAGAGAGACAGAGAGAATGTGTGTGGTGCTGGGGATTGAACTCGGCCTCGTGCAGGCTAAATGCATGCTCAGCCACTGAGCACCAGTCTCAGCCCTATAGTCTAATTTTGGATCTGCCACTGAGTTTGCTGAGTTGCATAACTTCTCTGTGCCTTACTTTTCTCATTGGTGAAATGGAGGCAACAATTCACTGTGAGGATTAAATGATTTGGCAGACACCAAGTGCTTGGCACGGTGGCTCAGTGCCTTCTCTGCGTGAGCACTGCCCAGCTGACCTCTGCTGCCACTTCCTTTTCCCTTCTCTGGCTCTTCTGCAGTGCTGTGCGGGTCAGCTCTCAGAAGTGGACAGCAGATGCGCTGTGCACAGTGGAGGCTCCTGGTGGCTCCTCACCATATGAGCACTGCCTGTGTATCTGGCTCATTTCCACTGGGCTCGTGTCTCCTGTGTTGCAGCCATGTTCAGTAATTGGCAGTTTCTACCCAGGCTATGGTTTTGCGTGCCTTGGCATCTTTGCTTTCTTCTGCTGCTTGAAATGCCCTTCCTTGCCTGGTTTTATCTACACATCTTTAATTACCCTTCAAGGCATGTTTAAACCTTTTGTGGAAGCCTCATCCTACGCCTGTAGCTGATTGCCTCCTTAGCACTTACTGTGCCATAAGTGTTATAACTATTCATTTTGGCTTTTTTTGTTTGTTTTGTCACTTGTTGTTTTGCAGATAGGGTCATATTATGTAGTCTCATGATTCTCCTGCCTCAGCCTCCTGGGCAGGGATTACAGGTGTGTGTCGTTATGCCCAGCTTCACTCTGGCCTTATTAACAAGACAGGGCTTCCATGTTGGCAGGCAGCAGACTCTGTCCTGTTGCAGAGCTTCAGAACATTTGGACAGAGAGCGGCTTCAAGCACATTGTTGAATTAGCATCCAGGTCATTCAGGAATTACTAAAGTCTCTGTACTTCACTTCCAGGTTGCAGGAATTGGTGGATCGAGTGCTGGAACGCTTTCAGGCATCTGGACTAATAGTGAAGGAGTGGAATAGTGTGAAACTGCATGCTACAGTCATGAACACACTGTTCAGGAAAGACCCCAATGGCAAGTACTCATGGAGCAGTGCAGAGAGTAGGAGCAAGGGTTTAGAGGCTTAGCTAGTGGTTTGAATAGAATGACTGTCAAAGACCCTCTCACCTATCTTCACTTCAGTCTGTTAGTGCTTTATTTTTTGGTAAGAAGAGTTGAACCCAGCATCTTGCACTGAACTATGTTTCCAGTGGCCCACCGTTAGCTGTCAAATTGCATATATCTTTTTTTTTTTTTTTTTTTTTTTGCAGAACCGGGGATTGAACTCAGGTCCTTGCACTTGCCAGGCCAAGTGCTTATTCCACTGAGCTATCTCCCCGTCCCCTCTTTTTTTCTTAATAGGGAACGTGTTTTCATAAAGTGAAACTTACATAGGATTGGGATCTTGGATTAGGAGAATGCTTCTCACTAGAGAAATAGTTCCATAGTTACCCATATGTATAGCTAAAATTGTACGATGTTCATGGAGTTGTTAGATCTCTGGACAGATTTCTGACCTTATACTGTCCAACCTGTGTGACTAAAAGAACATACTCCAAGATGGCAAGTGTGAGTGGGCATGGTGCACACCTGTAATCCCAGCTGCTTGGGAGGTGGAGGCAGGCGGATCACAAGTTTGAGGCCAGCTTGGGCAAGTACCAATATACTGTCTTAAAATAAAAAGAACTGGATATATAGCTAATCCTCCATGGTGATTCAACCTTTAGTACCACAGAAAGAGATGAAGTAAGAAAGAAAAAGAGGGGAAGGGAGGGAGGGAGATAGAAAAGGAGAGAAGGAAAAGAATTTGAATATTTTTGGACGTCTGTTGGGAGACAAGAAAGGGTTGATACAGAAAATACTGTGCAAGTTAAGTAATTTTTACTTTGAATTTTTTGTCCCTGTACTGTTCTCTGTATTGAGTTTTTACTTGAAAAGGGCATGAAATGATGTGTTACTTTTTCTTTTTCTATTTCCTTTTCCTTTGATGCACCTCTTCTTGCTGTCCTTGAAGGACATCCCTTGGGACATGCAACCTAAATTAACTTGGAAGCTGGAGCGCAGCTTTGTTTAGGCCAAGGTCGCAGACTTGCTGCATTTCAGTGTAGAATATCTGTAAGGATACTTTTGGTTGCAGCAAAAGGACTCTTTTTCATCTGAGGAGAGCCCTTAAATCAACTCAAGAGTGGAACCAGCAGTTTTTACTAACTAATGTGTGAACTTTTGTGTGTTTTTACATATTTAAACATGCACACAGGACTGGCAGTGTAGCTCAGTGATTGCGTGCTTGCTTAGTAAGTGCAAGGCCTTGGATTCAAGCCCCAGAACTGCAAAAAGAGGGAGGGAGAAAGGGAGGGAGGGAGGGAGGGGGAGAGAGAGATTAAAATTGCAGGCAGATTTTTTGAGTTTGTAGATAATGAGGAACCTTTAAAGATCAATCAGTCTTGACCTCTGACTTTGTAAATGAAGAATTGAAGTCCAAGGAGAACATATAATTTGTGCAAGATATCTAGTGACATAGTTAATAAGTACTTTCCATTAGTATATGGACTGTTGAATGAGTGGATCTATATTGAAGAAGCCAGGTCTCTTGATTAACAGCCTGCTGTTTTTCCTTCACATACTGGCACTTTCCAGTAGCATATGAAAATTTCACTAGTTGTACTTGTGTACTTAACAGAAACCCATGGAAATGCAAACAGAGCGATAACCCCAGCTTCTCTCCTATTATCTTTGGAATTTTTGCAGCTGAAGGCAGGTACAATCTCTACACAGCGGATGGCAAATATATCTTCAAGGAAAGAGAATCATTTGATGGCCGAAACATTTTAAAGGTTAGTATGAAGGAGAGCAAATTGGAAATCCTTTGGCATATACCCTCAATAAGGGAGGAAAACAAGTTGTTTTCCTTTTAACAGTAGAGTATATTTTTCTTATGTTTTTTGTGAGGATTATTGATAGAGTTGTTTTAAAATTTTTTTTTATGCTCTTAAAAAAAAAAGAAGTCCTCTTTGTTAGGCTTTGACACTTCTGGAGTGTGGAAATTGGAGATTTAAGGAGCAGCGCAGCACCCCAACTCCTTGGATGCGTAGGAGCAAGCTGCATGCAGCACGGCAAGTCTTACTCTGTACTCACCCCTGGAATTTGAATTTGCAACCCTTTAGGTGAAAAAGCACTGTTTTCCTAGCCGATTTTTCTCTTCACCCACAACATGGCTTTTCCAGGTTGCTCTACCATCTATTTTTACCAGAGGTAGCCTGTGTCCCAAAAAGTAGGTGGTCCGTTTCGGGCTGCTGAGGCATTGCTCTCTTGAGTTGCATTAATCTCTGAAATTTAAATAGAAGCGGCTTGCAGGATTGCATTTATCTTTCTCCCACAGGCCACACTGTGTACTGTCCGTGATTTATGCCCTCTCTGTAGGTTAACATGCCACTGTTCCCCTGGGCAAAGCGAAACACAGCTGATACCAAGGGAGAGGGCCTGATTCTTCATTTCACTGTTCTATAATTTAGGTCAAACATTTTCAAGGCCACAGTTCTTTCAGGGGTGGAGTCAGCAATGTCAGAGTGAGCTGCAGCTTTAGAAATGTTTTTTCCTTTCCTCCCCCATCCTCCATTCCCTTATCTCACCTCTTGACAGTTTTCTTGCCCAGTGCCACCCATGACCCCTTTGCCTGTCATTAGTGCCATCCCTCTTCAGCTGTGAGCTCCTTGCCTCGCCCAAGAGGCCATTCTCCAAGGCCCTCTGGCACCCAGAGCTGTGTTGATTCCTTTCATCTGTGATACTTTGGCTGCTGCGGGGTTCAGTGGTGGTTAACTGACCACTTTCCCAGACCACAGTGTGCTACAGCATACAGCAGTCCACACAGGTCTCTCTTCTGTGGGAGCTTTCAAGGACATCAGAGAGTACTTTTTAAACATTTTTTAAAAATTTTTTGTTCTGGGAATTGAACTCAGGACCTTGTGCTTGTCAGGCAAGAACTTATGCCACTGAGCTATCTCCCTAGCTTTGTTATTTTTAAGAAAAAAATTAGCCGAATAGGAAAAACATCTTTAGGACTAGCTGAAGGCCAACTTGCATGGAATTAAAACAAAAGCTGAAGAGTGTGTGTGTGTGGTTACCTGTGAGAGGCTTTGACAACTGTAAATGCCTATACGGCACAGCTGTGTGTGGGGGGGGGAGCCTCACTTATTCTGCATTCTGTTGCTCTGGCAGGACTGTTTTCCAAGTGATAATGCTTTTTCTTGCAATCACTGTACTACCCCAGCCATGACAAGAATGTAGCTCCCTCTAGTGTTGATAAACACTCTGCTGTCCCCCTAGCACCCTCACTAATTCACGGCTGTGTCGAGTTTGGTGCTGGACCCAGGGAGGTACTTGGAGATCTTTAGTGCAGTTCCCCTCTCCAGTCTCTAGTGTGAGATCCCAGTGGTAAAAATGGCTCACTGGTGGTCCTGCTGGATAGTGACGGAGTCCAGAATCAGAGCAAGAAGTCTTGAAACTCAAACATTTAGCGTTGTTTCTTCTGCCTCCATCAGGATGCTGGGTTTGGGTAGAAATGGCGATCATTACATAGCGGAGATGGGTATGTCTGCCTGAGCGGGGATAATGTCTAGTTAAAACTCATTTTGCAGCTGTTGGGCACTGTGGGCAGGCCAGTTAGTCTAAATCTATGGCTAATTAAAAATCAGACATTTGGGGCTGGGAATATGCCTCAGTGTACAATGGCCCTGGGTTCAGTCCCCAGCACAAAAGGAAAAGAAAGAAAAAGAAAAGAAAAAAATTAGACTTTGGTATTGAATATAGTTGTAACGCTAACAGAAATGCCTACGTATTCGCTGTATATTCGCTGTACATAAGGATCCAAATAGTCCTTCTGACACAGTCCCTACCTCCCACGAGCTTTCTGTCTTTGAGGAATACAGATGATTACTAGATAATATTGATGGTGCCAAGTTAGGAGAGAGAAGTGCCTTTGAACACAGAGCATTATGACAAAGTGTCTTTCAGAATGGTTTTTAATATTTTACTCCTAAATCATTAGTTGCAGGAAATAAAATCCTTTGCTAATGTTCCACCAAGGACATGACATGGTAGGCTCCAACACTTAGCCCCCACAACACACACAGGGATAACTGTATTTCAGAGTAGCTGTAGTTAAACCTGCCTTTCAGAATTACCATGAGCGGATATGTGTTTCTCAATTTGAACATAACAACGCATGGCTCCTGAAGCCCTTGAAATAAAAATAGGATTTACAAAACCCATGGATTTATGTATAGTTTTTATACCAGATGAAGTTATTATCTTAGGAAAGAAAAAAAATCAATTTCACTAACAAGATAGGACCTGAGTTGGAGCGAACAGAAAGGTTAACTGCCTCGGTTGTTAGTGGGCCCAGGCATATGTGTGCAGCATGTTAACAGCTGCGCAGGCCAGAGATCAGGAATGCTGGGGAGGGAGGGAAAAAAATCAACTGCATCGACTATTCAAAAAGAGACAAAGTGAAAAAGCAAGTCATCGCTCATTGCTGTAAGAACATAATGAATAACAGCCAATTGCTATTCTACTCCACGAAGAGAATTGGTCCTTTTGGCTCAGGATAATATTGTGTTCTGGGTGCCTTAATAAGAAAAAAAAAAATCTCTAATGACTTTTGGAGGTGGAAGCCACATTTTTCTTTTGTACAGCTCTTTTGAGAGTTGTTGCAGCTGTAATAGACTAGTGTCTGGTTATTCCTAGTTAAAATAAGAATTTTCTTTCTCTAAGAAAGGCTTTGAAAGAACTGACAACTAAAAAATCATTCTCCTGTTATTCAAACCAGAAAAGGAACAAATGTATTCCATTAGGGTGGGGTTTTTATGGCAGACTGACAGCTCCAAAAGAGGACATATTAGTGAAAATGACCTAGGCCAAATTAATAGCATGGTGTCTCCTCTGAGAGTCTCCATTAGTAAGAGACAGCAGCAGAGATGCTGTTTGTATAGCTGTAGGCAGCGATCAGCCCATAATTGGAGAGATCATGCTGACCTAAAGACACACTGCTGGGAAAGAACTGCTTCCTCACGAGCTGGAAGCGGAACAGGAATGGTCGTTAGCTGCGGCTTCTGGAGAGGGAAGCAGTGGCAGTCTGCTAGAGAGGCTTGGGAAATGGCCTTAAGCAACCGAATAGTTCATCAAGTATCTGCTCCAGGCTGGCTGTACAGGGGTACAGTGATACCCTCACAAGCGCTGCGGCTTGTGCCTGCAGAGTGAGGAGGAGCCGCTGAACCCCGATACAGTACCCACAGAGAGGGCACTGTGGCGCAGACCAATGCACAGCCAGGCATTTGAGGAGTGGAAAGTACTGCAGGTCCCAAGTCAGAGGACACCATGGAAGTACCATTTCCTTAGATGCTTTAAAAAACCATGGAATAGATAAGCCAGGTACAAGGGAAATGAATTAGTGCCTTTCTATTTTATACATATAAAATCTTCGAATTTAGAAAGAGATTGGCAGTATTAAACTATATTAATTTTAATGCTTCTAGAATATGTTTTATGTCTGTATCAAATTGTGATTTGTCGGGAAGATGTGAATGAGTCACTCATAGGTGTCATTCATCTTTTTCTTTGATCCCATCTCTGTTCCTTGGACCCCTTTAAAGGACACCTAGAGCACCTAAATTTAAGTGAGAGCTTTAGTTAGTTTACTATACTTTGAGCAGTTTTTCTAAGGGCAGCTTTTTAAAAAACTATACTGTAGTTTTTGCTGCCATACGTGTGCACAGAGTGTAATGAACTGCTTAACAAATCATCATAATACAGTTACTACCCAGATGAGAAAGTAAATAGCCTAATGTCTCTTTCTGTCTCTTTAATCGGTTTGTACTAAGTAAGGTGTGTGTGGTACTGGAGAGTGAACCCAGTGAGTGCTGAGCTACATTTCAGGCCCTGCCCCCCACCCCTCTTTTTCTTGAGACAGGGTCTCACTGCCTAATTTAGACTGGCCTGGACTCACTTTGTAGAGCAGACTAGCCTTGAACTCACGGGAATCCTCTGGCCTTGGTCTCTCAAGTGATGTGATTATAGGTATGCACCACCACACCTCGCTGATTTTGAGATAGGTCCTTGTGAAATTGCTCAAGCTGGCCTCACGCTTGTTATCCTGGGATTATAGGTGTGCGCCATAATGCCCGACCATTGTTTTTAAACACTGTCAGTGGAAAGGCTTTTTTTTTTTTTTTGAAAGGCTTGTTTTGAATGAACATTTGGTTTTAAGCAATTAGAGTGTTGAAAGGATGAGTTCATTTTTTTTCCCTAGGGAAAAGAGAAGGGACGTGAGAAAACTATGTAATCACTTAAGAAATTTAATAAACATTTTTAGAGCAGTTTTAGGTTTACAGCAAAACTAAGCAGAAAGTAAAGCATCCCTGTATACTCCATTCCTGCACGTGCACACCTTTCCCCAGTGTCCACATCTGCCACCATGGTGGTATATTTGTAGCAGCCAGTGAACCCACACGAATAGGTTGCAGTAGGGCTCCTCTCGGTGATGTCCGTCCTGTGGGTTCGGGCCACTGTGTAATGAAGGATGTTCACCCTGGAGGATCAGGCAGGAAGGTTTCATGGCCCCCAGAATCCCAGCTCGGCCTTGCTCGTCCCTTCCCTGTCCCTCACCCCTGGCACCCACGGGTTTCTTTGCAGTCTCCATGGTTTTGCCATTTCCAGAATGGCACACAGTTGGAGTTATGCAGTGTATAACCTTTCCATGTTGGCTCTTTTTACATAGTATTCTTTTTTCTTTTTTTTTTTTTTAGGGAAGGGTCTACAGGGTATTGAGGGTCTTACTACT